CCCTAGGCAGTATCCCAAGATGGGAGTTGTCCCACTAAAGATGACAATGGCAGTAACAGAGGTAATCCAAGATGGCGACAAAGGTGTCCCAAGATGGAGGCGACCACTTTCAGAGATGGGGTGGTGAAGACAGGCCATTTGATGATATTGTGTAACATGTATGGAGATGCAGAACTGTGGTGTGGGGTGCTGCAGTGGGCAATTATCTCCAGACCTTGTCCAGTGTCTCCAAGTGCAGGCTACCAAGTGGAGGAGACTATGACAGTAGTAGCAGTGTCTCAAGATGGAGGCAGCCAGGGAAGTCCTGTGTTGATTGATGGGGAGCCCCATGTTGGTTGATGGAGAGCTGGCACACTGCGGGATCCACACAGGCACAGGCAGRATCTGGCACACAGCAACAGGGTTCTGCATTGTTCTTAAAGATGGTAAACCTGCAGTTCATTAAGAGAAAAAAAAATGTGGTAGCAAAGTAAAAGGAAGTTTAAAATGTTCAAAAGGTGAACTGAAGCACAGCAGGGGAGAGGTCACAAGTGATGTCTATAAAGAAAAAGCAGTAAAAAAAAATAACCACCCACCCCCAATAAAATAAGTAATAAAAAAGAGAGAGAATAAGTGAATTAAGCTATTGAAGGAGGAAGAGAGGAGAGGAGTAATAAGAGAAAAAATAAACAAATTTTTAAAAAGAGCCAAAAGAAACAATGAGAAGAAAAGTCAAACCAAACACATAAGCACAAAACCTTACCCCTCTAAAGTCACAAGAAGGTGAAATAACAAGTGGCTAAGGAAAGCAAAAAGTTTAAAGTAAAACAGAGGGAAAAAAGTGATAAAAATGAAGATCTACAAGGCAACAGAAACAGAATACACACGCCCCACACATACACACATTCACACACACTTGATGAAAAATAGAGAAATAAGGGGGAAAAAAATAAAAATGAAGGGAAAGAAAAAAATTTAATTACACATGAAGGGCTGCTCTGCTGAGGTGGGCAACACTGTTGGCAAGTATGCATGTCCACTGCCTATGCCTTCCTGTCCTTTCAGTTTCTTCTTGGGCTGTGTACCCCTTAGAGCAAGGGCTGGGAGTTGTGAAGTCCATCTTCTTTGAGTTCCTCACTAAGCTGTCAGCTAGAGTGGTCTGGAACTGAAGCTGCCTGTATTGATTCTCAGTTTCCCTTCTTTCCAGTTTAAGGACAGAATAGGAAGTAGTGACAATTGGAGTTTTGTCCATGCAAACTCCGTGAGTGCACTCCCCGGGCGGGGCTGATGTAGACTTATAAATGTTAAGTTCAGGCAACTGGCAAACTTAGCTCTGAACACACTTGTGAGGTTTTCCATGAGTTTTCTACTCTAGGGAAAATGGCTCCATCCACCCTATTGCCAGACAGAAGCCAATCTTCACTGGGTGTCTGGGTATGGGGAGGGGGCTCCTTAGAACTCCATTGTTGGGGGAAAAGTGATGAAGTCACTGTTTTTCTAGCACACTTCACTGTCCATGAATGTGGTTGTCTCAGGAACAGACCCAAAGTGTAAATGTACCCATCTGTCCAGTTTCTGAGTTCACTTTGACTACTCCTGAAAGCCACCAAAGAGCACAATCCTCTTTGTGCCTCCCTTAGTCATGCCCCCACCAGGAGTTTTCTCTAGATCTCACAGCAGAACTATGCAGGGAGAGTTGGCCAATGCTGTTATGAACTCCTTGGCTCCTKCAGCAGAAATTCACCTCATAATCACTCTAAGATGGCATTCCACATCAGCTCTCCACCTCCAGCCAGGAAGCACAGAACACCCCTCACACAGCAGCTTGCCATGGCACTRCCTCAGAGTCACTGTAGTTCAGACCTCATCTCTGTTTCACCAGTTACCCTGTGCCAAATTTCCTTCAGATTCAATCTCTTCTTTCTGCCTGGGTCTCTCCTCTCCTGTACAGTGGACTAACCTGCAGCATTATAGGTTGGATTTCTAAGGTATTCTTTCCTGTCCTATGTTCAGAGTTCCTGAATTTCTGTCTTTATGATTTCAATATTAGGATTCAGTGTGTTGCCTATCATGTACTTTACAAGGAAGCAGTATTGCAGCAGTATCCTTCTGCTTGAACCTGAAGCTCATGCAGCAAGTAAAATTTGCACCCATCTTCTACTCTACCCCATATTTTCCAGAGTCTTTAGTGTGTTCTTAACAATCATTTTTAATGTGAGTAGATATTGGCTGAGCATTTGCTGTGCATGTTCTATCTGTTCCTAGGTGCTGTGGATAGGCAGTTGGGCTAGCTTGTTTTTTTCCCCCAGGAAYTAGGAAGTCTTATAGGTCAGCTTTACTAATAGAACTTGATAAAGTGATTGGCATACACAGGGTAGGGAGCATGCTATGAGCATTGGGGTGGGAAATAAGGTGATACTATTAAAAATGTGTAGGTAGAGCAGAAGGTCTTTGTGAGGGCATAGATAAAGGAGCACATTTACTGTGTTGGATCCACCAAGGTAAGACAGCCATGTGGGTCATTTGGGATACCTGTGCTGGGTAAGCCAATGATACCTTGCATTTCCTATAGCCTATGATGAAAAGAAAGATGAGGATTTAAGTATAAACACACACACACACACACACACACATTTTAAAAACTTTCTAACTAGTTAATTTTCTGACTTGAGAAAAATTTCTGTTCAGAGTAGCTGAGAGACATGGCCTGTGTAGGAGGGAAATAACCCTATAACATATGTACCTTTTTATAGTTTGTTAGRTATCTTAGCTGCAAGGAAGGATCCACGTGGATTATCTGGAGAAGTTTTAGTAAATGGAGCACCTCGGAATGCCAATTTCCCATGTGAGTCTGGTTATGTGGCACAAGTAAGTATTAGTGAATTTTCCCTGTGAATTGTTTTTTTCTGTTCTCTCTGGGGAAAAACCTTGGCTTATAGTTTAGCATGGTTCCAGTTGATTACTTCACATGCTCATGAAACAAAGCTTATCTACACCCACTTTTCATAATTTCCCATAAGAGTGAGATTACAAATGGAAAGGAAAGGAGGATCTGGACTATGACCCCTGTCAGGCAGTGGTGTTGATTCTAGCTGTTGTATTATTTACATAAAAGCCAATTCCTATCCTTTTTTTGCCCTCCCTTTACTTTCCTACTTTCTCTACATGATGCCTTTGGTGAATCCTTATACAAAGCAGTCTGGAAGTGCCTGTTGGAGTCATCATGATTACCTGTGCTCCATCTGGGTGTGCGCTGGTGGATGAACTGCCTCCCTTGGACTCTGTAGCTCTCTGTATGTGGAATCACTAAAATTTGTGGAGCTGGAACTTTACGTTTAGTTTGTTATTTTTATAGATTAAATTACATTCACTGGAGGGATAGTCTTAGAAAAGACTCAGTTTGTCTCATTAAAATACTGTTTGCCTTCAGGATGGTGTTGGGATGGGCACCCTGACAGTGAGAGAAAATTTACAGTTCGCAGCGGCTCTTCGGCTTCCAACAACTATGACAAATCATGAAAAAAATGAGAGGATCAACAAACTCATTCAAGATTTAGGTCTGAGTAAAGTGACTGATATTAAGGTAATGTGACAAAGCCTGATAGAATCAGCCAGCAAAGAGGACCTCCCTATGTGGACAATGTGACCTTAATCAGAAGTTTCCTAAGGTGTGTGAGGTCAAAAGTGGCTGCTTTCCATAATGATGAGAAAAGTCAAATTACATAATATGAAGGTGRAAATGAAGCTGGAGAAGCAATCTTAATGATGGTTGCATCCCAGGACTGGAGTGTGGTCTAGTTTGAAGAGTGCCTCTCACACGGCTATTTCCATGTGATCTTCTCACCCTCATTGATGGGCTCATTTGATGTCTTTCCTCTAACTTTTCTTCTTCCCTTTTTCTACTACYCTTTAGTAGTTCTTCTCCCTCTTGCTCTGGGGTGACTTTGACCCAAAGCTTTTTTTATGGTATATTTCTGGAATTGATAATTGTCAGGAATCCAAGGATTCTAGTTCTGTGTAGTTCATTTTGGGATAATTTGGCTTTGAAAATTATATTTGGTCACATTAGGATTTAGTTATAATTTGTGTAGTGACCAAGTTATGTTTCTATAGCCTTTTTTCCCTTTGGCAACCCCTGTTATCACCTCTCCTTAGAGGCAATGAAGAATTGAGGGGCTGTTCTTGCTGCTACTTCCCCCTGGTACCTGTTGACAGTATTTTATATGAAGTATACTTTGTTTGGAAGAATAATYCTGGGATGCTACCAGTTAGCACTTATTTTTGTTTTATGAGTCATTGAGTTTTCTTTCCTTTGGCTCTTTATTTATTTGATTTTGCCTTCCCAGTAAGGTAGTCTTTTGCTATATTCTTTAACTTTAAGCAGGCACTGCTCAAA